AAAGGTGGTAAGCTTCATTCATCTACTTCTATATTGAACGTTCTTCAAAAAAGAAAAACCATCTACTTATTTTTCTATATCTCTCATATTACAGTGGGATACAAAAAGAATCGTGAGGCCATTATTGATTCTGGTGCTAATGGAACTTTCCTTGATTTTTCTTTTGTTACAAAGAATAAAATTCCTTGTGTTCGAAAAACTAACTTTGTTCCAATCAGAGTTATTGATGGTTCATTTATATCCTCAGGACCCATAAAAGATGAGACAATTCCTCTAAGAATGATTACCAACAATGTACATTCCGAATTCCTTACATTTGATGTTATTAAATCTCCACTTTATCCCGTCATTTTAGGAATTAATTGGTTAAAAACCCATGATCCTCTAATTAAGTGGTCTTCCTTTTCCATTTCCTTTGCTTGTGATTTTTGTAAACAAACGTGTTTACAACATATTCCTATTCTCCAAACTACTAAAGAATCAGTTATACCTCCATTCTACTCCGATTTTGCAGATGTCTTTTGTAAAAAAGAAGCGGAAACACTTCCACCTCATCGGGTATATGATTGTCCAATAGATCTCATACCCGGAGCTCCTATTCCTTATGGCCATATTTATCCACTCTCTGAAAAGGAGTTAGAAATTTTAAAAGAATATCTTAATGAAAATCTACACAAAGGGTTCATCAGACCCTCGACCTCCCCAGCTGCTTCTAGTATTTTCTTCGTGAGGAATAAAGACCAAACCATCCGTCCTATTATAGATTACAGAGCCTTAAATAAAATAACAATTAAAAATCGTTATCCTCTTCCACTAATAAATGAATTAATTGAAAGGTTAAGAACTGCAACTATATTCACTAAACTCGACCTTCGAGGCGCATATAACCTCATTAGAATAAAACAGGATGATGAATGGAAGACCGCCTTCCGGACAGGATATGGTCTCTACGAATATCTAGTGATGCCTTTTGGGCTCTGTAATGCCCCTGCAACATTTCAACATTTTATAAATGATATCTTTAGAGATCTTTTGGATATATGTGTTATTATCTACTTAGATGATATCTTAATATATTCTAACAATTTGGATGAACATAGGAAGCATGTTAGATGGGTTCTATCTAGACTGAGAACTCATAAATTATACGCTAAACCAGAAAAATGCCTTTTTGAGGTTACTGAATTCTCTTTTCTAGGATACATTATTTCACCTCATTCTTTGAAGATGGATAATTCCAAAATCGAATGTATTATTAACTGGCCCGCTCCTACTACTACAAAAGAATTGCAACGTTTTCTTGGATTTTCAAACTTCTATAGAAAATTTATTAGAAACTATTCGGATGTATCACATCCTCTTAACCTCCTCAACAGTAGTAAACGTCCTTTCAATTGGAATAAAGATGCACAAACAGCCTTTGACGAATTAAAAAAAAGATTTACAACTGCACCTATTCTACAACTACCTAATCCAACATTCTTATATGTTCTTGAAGTTGATGCATCAGATACAGCCATCGGAGCAGTTCTTTCTCAACAAAAGACTCCACAAGATCCACTTCATCCAGTTGCCTTCTTTTCAAGATCCTTGAGCTCTGCTGAAAAAAATTATCCTATTGGTGAAAAAGAATTATTAAGTGTTAAAGCTGCCTTCGAAAATTGGCGTCATCTTCTAGAAGATACAAAACAACCTATAATAGTTTATACTGACCATAAAAATCTTGAATATCTCTATACTAACAAAACCCTTACGGCTAGACAAGTTAGATGGAACCTATTCTTTAACTGAATTAACTTCCAATTAATATATAGACCTGGAACTAGAAATAAAAAGGCTGACGCTCTTTCTCGAATTCCTTCTAAAACTACTACTGATGATTATCCTCCTAACAAAATAATAGGGATCCTCTCTTCTCTTCATGATGACATAAAGAATTTGAATCAGAAGGATCTTGAACTTCCCAAAACACCTATACTAACAAAAAAGGATGGTATATTTTATTTTAAAAATAGAATTTATATTTCTCCCATTTTTAGGAATAAATTACTTAAGATGGTTCATGATTCACCCCTAGCTGGACATCCTGGAATAAAGAAAACTCTTGAACTAATTTCACGATATTATTGGTGGCCTCGCCAGGATAGAACCATTGAATTATATGTCAAAACTTGTCCTATCTGTCAAAGGTCTAAACCTGAACATAATCAACCTTTTGGATTACTACTTAATTTACCTATTCCAGAAAAACCTTGGCAATCCATTTCTATGGATTTTATCGTTGATCTCCCACCTTCTCAACATTTCACCACTATTCTTGTCGTTGTGGATCGCTTCACAAAAATGTCCCATTTCATTTCTTTAAAAAAATTACCCTCCTCTGTAGAATTGTCTAAGGTCTTTATTGACAATATTGTGAAACTTCATGGTCTTCCTGAAGAAATTATTTCTGATAAGGGGACACAATTTACCTCCAAATTCTGGAAAGAGATGTGTCTCTCCCTTCAAATTCAACGCAAACTCTCTTCCGCCTATCATCCCCAAACTAATGGGCAAACAGAAAGGGTTAATCAATGTTTGGAACAATATCTTCGATGTTATTGTTCATACCTCCAAGATGACTGGACCACATGGTTACCTATGGCCGAATTTTCTTACAATAATACCATTCATTCTAGTACGAAAATGACTCCTTTTTTCTCCAACTATGGTTTTCATCCGTCTTCATTTCCCATCCAAACTATTACTTCATCCAATCCTACTGTTACATCAAAAAACTAATTTATGTCTTCTCTATTTCTCAAATTACGGGAGAATCTTCAACTCGCCCAAAATAACCAGAAAAAGTTTTTTGACAATAATAGAAGAATTCCCCCTCCTTACAAGGTAGGGGATCTTGTCTGGCTCTCTTCAAGGAATATTACCACAAGCCGTCCTTCAAAGAAATTGAGCTCTCTTTTTCTTGGTCCCTTTCAAGTAATTACAATCATTAATGATAACGTCGTTAAACTAAAACTTCCTCCAAGTTTTAAACTTCATCCAGTATTCCATGTCTCCTTGCTTAAACCACACATCCCTGATCCTTTTCATAGAGAAATAGTAACAACTCCTGAACCTATCATTATCCAAGGTGAAGAAGAATATGAAATTCACAATATTTTGGATTCTCGTGTCCACCGTGGCTCCTTACAATACCTTATTAGATGGAAAGGTTATGGAGTTGATGAAGACACTTGGGAAGATTCATCTAATGTACATGCTAGGAGGTTAGTTACTGCCTTTCACAAACGCTACCCCTCCAAACCGAAATAGTGCACCCAGAGGATGCCCCATGAGAAGGGGGTACTGTCAGGTATAGCATGGCATGTATTTCGCTGTCGGAACCCACTTCCGGGTTCACGGCGCTTAGCCCCGCCCCTTTTTTCTGACGCGGTCCCTCCACGATACTTAGGAAGACCGCGCCAGATTCAAAGGGCTGGATTATTCGCACAGGTGCTGCAGAGAGATCAGCTGCTCTACTTTGATCCTACCTGCTCCACTTCTCGACCTCGGCTTGTAAAACGGATTTCTACCTTCTCCACTCCCAGACCTCGGCTTGTTAAAACGGACTTCCACACTCTCCACTCCTAGTTCTCGGCTTGTTAAAACGGACTTCTAATTTCTCCTCCATTGGGTGAATTAACCCTTCCAGTGCCAGAACTGCCTTTAAGTTAAGTAAAACTTTTTGCCAAAACAAGCCAATTCCTATTATTTATGTTACACAGTATCTAAAGCTCACTAAAGTGTCACTTTGTCAAGCTATTCCTCTTATTCATAAGGGACTGCTACTAAGGCTAATTATTCCTGCAATAATCAACTTATTCTAATTGCAAGCCTGTCCAGCTTCATTAATAAATTTCTCATAATTTATTCCATCTTAATTAAGTTGGAAACTAGCACTGCCTATTTCCCTGCATGTGTATTTAAAGATACAGTAACCATTGTTTCATATCAGTATAAAAGGAGGTGAAACTTATTGTTGCTGCAATCAGAAAATTCTGCAGTTGAGTTCCAATTAAAGAAGTATTACAAAATAAGTATTACAATACTATTCATGTGTATGGCTTTGTGGTATGCCTCTATGTCTGGGATACCCAGTCCCCCCTTTTCCCTTGGTTTTGTTAAGAGATTGTGTGCTATTCGTGGTTTTGTTTGTGCCCATATGAAATTCTGGATGGTCCCTTTGATTTTGGTGAAGAACTTTTTGGAATCAACACTGGTATGGTTTGCAGCAGATAGAGTAATCATGGTACTATATTCATTTTGATTATGTTAATTCTGCAAAACCAGCCAAAGCAAGGCTTCTGCCATGTCTGCAGATCTTATGATATGGAGGTCATAAGTGGTAAGAAGTTTAGATCATATAGTTGTCCTGTGTGATGGGGAAGTTGTACGCCCAAATATTTTATAGCTTTGGTAGTTCATGTAAAGTGAAATTTCTGTTGGGTATGTCTGTCTGTGTCCTGTGTCGTGTGTAGGGAGAGGATCTCGCATTTCATAAGGTTAGCCTGAAAGTCTGATATTCCACTGTAAGTTTCCATCTCGGCAAGGATATGTGGGATCGTATGAGTGGCCTGCCTCAGAGCCCAGTCTACCATATCAAATGCCTTTTCGGCATTGATGGCTAGAAGTGCACTCTGAATTGTGTGTGTTTTGGCCCAGTGCATTATACTAATGATTTTAGTGGTATTGTTTTTCGCCTCCCTCCCTGGCACAAACCCTGCTTGGTCTGGGTGAATGAGTTCTGGCAATATTGATTTTAACCTGGTCGCCAGTATTTTGGTGAAGATTTTAAGATCTATGTTCATCAGGGAGATAGGTCTGTAGCTCCCGCAGTTTGTGGGATCTTTACCTGGCTTTGGTATTAAGGTTATTGTGGCGTCTAATGAACGCAGTGGCATGGTCTTTGGGTCGTTTCGTGAGCTGAATGCCTGGGTAAAAAGTTCAGCTAACCTCTGCCATCAACTTATAGTATTTGCCCGTGAAGCCACTGAGAAGAATTCTTCATTCTTGATGGGGCTGTCTAAGAACTCCACTACATTACGCAGCAGTGAGTTCTTTATTCTGTTCGAGAGGAATTCCTGGATTTTGTCTGGCATTCTCTGGGTCAAAGTGCCGTCAAGGAGTCTTATGTCTGGGATAAACGTTGTTTGCCTCTGTTGCGCCAGTGATTGTGATAGTAAATGTCCACATTTCCCTCCTTTAGTGAAGTATGTGTGTTTTGTCTTGTGTAGTGAGCGTTTCGCGTGAAGTTGTAGCGTGGTGGTCAGTGCCTTATATGTCTGTAATGATGTGTCTACCTGGTGTTTGGTTTCTAAGATTTGAATGTCTCGGGTTAGGCACCGTACTCGGGCTTCTCTCAATCTTTTCTGGGCTTTTGCTATTTGAATGAGTTCGCCTCTGAGTACACATTTGTGCGCTTCCCATATTATTTCTGGTTTTGTGTCTTGTCCTTTGTTGTCTGCAAGGTATGACTTAGCACAGTCTTTCAGAGTCTCTATAACCTCCTTTTTGTTTAGAAGTAGATCGTTTAGTTTCCATAGTGGCGGAGCTAGTGAAATGGTGGGGAGTGTTAGTTCTATTGTTAGTGGTGCATGATCTGACCTCGTAATCGGGCCATAGGTCGCCGATGTTACCAGTTCGAGGTGTTTGTGTGGGAGGAAGATTATGTCAATTCTTATGTATGAACCTGATGGTGGAGAGTAAAATGAATAGTCCCTATCAGTTGGGTGGATTGCTCTCCAACCACCATAAAGTCTGGCCTGATGGAGAATTTCTGTTAGTCGTTTTCGGGTTGGTTCTAAGTAGATGCTGGAGGTGGCAGAGGTGTCTAACGTGCTGTCGAGGGAGACGTTAAAATCTCCTCCCAGGATCAAAATGCCCTCCTGATATTCTGTGAGCTTGCGTATTATTTTTCCCAAGGCCTTACTTTGTTTCCTATTGGGAAGATAAATGTTAGCCATAGTTATCTTGGTTTTGCCTAGAGTCAGTTTGATGAATAGGTATCTGCCTACATCATCTGTTTGTTGTTCTTTAAATTGAAATGGTACTTGCCTCCCTATCAAGATTGCTACCCCTCTCGCCTTTGCTTCTGTGTAGTGACTATGATATCCTATTGGGTATCTGCGATTTCTTAGTGATGGGGCATTGTTTTTGCGGAAATGGGTTTCTTGTACAAATTCTGTCTGCTTTGTGTCTTTGACAGTCTGCTAGTGCGAGTGTTCTTTTCTCCGGGACGTTCAGTTCCTTGGCATTTTTTTTATTTTTTTTATAATTCTTTATGTTTGTAGTGCATACGCTTAGTACAATCGCTTGTGAAGTACCCCAAAGGCAATCTTCCAGCGCATTATAAAACATTTAAACATAGAGGTACAGGGTTGATCTTGCACATTTTTATAAGGTTGAGTTATGCGGTATACAGTATCGATTGTCATTACTTAAGCATGTTCATAACATAAAATAAAATAGCTTTGCTTAACTTTCTGCTCATGGAATAAAATTAAGATGCTGTGTCTAGTGTGACTATGCCAGAAAACTAGTGTGGTTGATTCAGTTTTGTGAGTCACTTAATAGAATCATTTTTTTTTTTGTTTTGTTTTTTTAATAAACTGTATTAAGATGCTATGGAGCGAATGTTACCTTTCCGATGTAACAGATTATGCGAGGGCTAGATTACCCAATGCTGACTACGATGTAAAGCAAAACATTGCCCTATTTTATGGTATATCAGAAAAAAGGTAAATAGCAGGCTATGCATACATTTGCCAGCTTTAGGCATAGTCATGTGGGGAGAACATGGATTCAAACTTAAAAGTGTTGATTAGATCAGGTTATTGGTAAATGTAGGTCACAATAGCCAGCGTCGTGGGTACAGGAGGTTAATTTACATGACTGACCTAGGTTAGTAACATGCACAATTCTGTGCTAGTGTATCTGGCTTATGAGGCAAATGCTCATTACTGCATGCATGGTAGGCAGGCTAAACTGTGGGTCTAGGTATATACTCTAAGGCTACATTAACATATGAAGAGGTGAGATGCCTAGGATTACAGTAGGCTGACCAAGCGTATAAATCATATCCGAGTAAAGCAAATAAAGGGTACTGGCAGTTTGCACAGTGCGTTAGAGTCAATGGAGGGGGAGATCACCGGCTTTTGTGTGCGTTTTATGGCTCTCAGTGTTCAGTGCAGCCGGCGGCCGCCCGCCTCAGGTATTCAGTCCAGTGCTTGTTTCAGCCGATGCCCCGTTTAGATATGGTCGGTTTGCAGACTGATGGCTTCCCCAGGGTAGCCGACTCCCCTGTCTCCCGGTCAGTGTCGCGGTCTGTTTCATGGGTTCTCCTGTGCGGGAGCGTGTCACGCTGGGCATAGGTCTCTGGAGCCACTGTAGGGTGAGGGGGTCGGGTGCACCGGCGGATTTCGCGTTGGTGTGTGGGGGGCGTTGGTGCCGGTGTCCAGGCAATCTTGCGCTGTTTCCCGCTGTGGTGGCCTTCGGCTCCGGCTCTGTCTGGGGGCCGTTTTGGCTCTAGGGGGATTTACTCCCAGCTGGCGGCGGAGTGCCGGGCGGATCCATCCCGCTACTGCTCTCATCACCTGCTTGAAGGTCAGACTCCGTGTATTTAGCCGTATCCATAGGCTGGTTCAGAGCCGGTCATAAAACTCCTGTGTATGCTTGGGAGGCTCGGTAAGTGGGCGCGTAATTGTAGGCTGCTTCTGTGCCACCATCTTGTTTGGGCCTTGCTCTCTCCGTTTTGCTTTGGACATCGTCGCTTGGTCAGGCAATATTGTGGGGGTAGTCGCCCCAAGCGAGGACCGGGATTTCCCCCGCCGGTCCAGAGGGGGGTGTAGCAGGGCTGTGTGGAAGTCTCGCTTGTGAGTGTGTCCTGCGCCGGGTGATCGTCCGCCTCTCCCGGATCTCAGGCTTTGCTCTGATGTAGGCCTCATGGTCGTCACGAGTTTTGCTGCATCGCATCGGGACCGGTACCATTCTATGCCTCATGGTGTCTTGGATCGGTCCCCGGGCACTGTTTGTTGCCATCGTTGATAG